AGCAGATGCAAAACCCTTGGTTAGATCTTCAGCGCTCATACACACACACACACACACACACACACACACACACACACACACACAGAGCTATTGTTTCAGGTTAGGATCGTTGACAAACCCGTAACCCAATTTCTAGTAAAAGGGTAAGTAGTCACAGACATCAAGACAGCTCTGAAAGAGGTCATGGTGGTGGGGGACTGTCTGTAAAGTGACCCAAACACATGAAAACTTGTTCTTTCCAACACAAGGAACTTGACACGGTCCAGAAATGGATATGTGTAGAAGTATTTACACACATGGGAAATTACTTAATTGATACAAGAAAGATTTAAATCAAGAAAAAAGATGATTATTTAAATACAAGTTCTTCTTAGGATTAAATCAAACAGTAATTTTAACAAAAGAGACAACAATGGATAACCAACACTTGCTAGTGCTGAACCCATTTGGGGAACACATGTTTGCAAAGTTGGTCAGCCTTTGACATTAGGATAAAACCAGACCTTTGTCAAATCTCCCTAAAGAAATTATATATTTCTACTACCTACCAGTCTTTGGAAGGCTAAAGCCAGTAAGGCCAGTAACAAACACTTTATCCTAACTAAAATATGTACTGCACTCAAAAAGAGAACAGGAAGTGAAAACAAAGGCTTTTAATATAATGTAGCCTAATCACTCAGCCACGTTTTCAAGGAATTTCGCAGCCTTATTTCCTGATTACAAACATATAGTAGTACATCCACATACTACAAAATAGTCATGTAGAAACTGCAAACCACATCCACTGGTCAAATTTAGCAATATTGCTAAAGCTTTGCATCGTAGTTTTTAACTTTTTAATTATTTGTGTGTGTGTGGTGTGTGCACATGTGTGCACATGTGTGCATGCAGAAGCCAGGGGCTGATTTTGAGCATCTTCTTCTGTCACTCTCCATTTAGACAGTGTCTCTCACTGAACCATTTTGTTTTGGCCAAACTGGCCATGAACCCTGGGGATCCACCCATCTCTGCCCTGCCCCCACCCCCATCCCCACCCCCACTGCTGGAGTTATAGACCCAGGTCACCACACTTGGATTTTATATGGTGCTGGGGATCCAAACTCAGGTATTCAAGCTTGCATAGCAAGCATTTTACCCACTGAGCCACTCCCAGACCTTACTCAACCTTACTTGTGCTGACTATTCATAAAATGGAGAAACCAGAAATAGGTGATTAATAAATTAAAGTTTCCCCTACTTCTATTTAGAATGTTATTTTTAATTCACAATCGGGAAAATAATTGATATTTTAAAATTGGAAATAAATCCAATTCTTGTTTAATTTCTTTCTGCATAGCTTATCTGCCCCTCCCACTGCTCTGCTGGGGTTCCCCAGACCCCATCTCTTTCCTTGCACTCTGATTCCCCCTTCCCCTGTGGCACTCTCCTGTGATCTGTATGTTTTCATGGTGATAATGGCTACCAGGCACTAAAGTTTCCCCATCAAACTCTTACACCTGCCTCACAGACCAGGACTGAATTCTGGCCTCATAGGAAACCTCTCATTTCCTGGCACAAAGGAAGGTTCTCATACGCCTCCCTTAAACACCTCGCTTCAGCACTCCTCCGAGCAGGAATCCTAGTATGAGCCAAGTATTGGCTGAGGGCAACTGAGTAAGCCCACAGGTGCTAGCCTGACTGGGCTGTGGGGACCATGGAAAGGCAAGTCCAAGGGCAGGAGAGAGAGGAGCCAAGTGACGTGGGCAAGCAATAAACCTGTCCTTCTTATGCTGGGCATAGAGGGGTATTGAAGAGTGTCTGGCCACTTCTTGAGAGTCTGTTCATGAAGACAGGCATTAACTCACCCTTTGTATACAGAATAGGTTTCATTTATGAGCTAGCACATTGGGAACCATAGGTTGGCCATATTGCCTGCTGGATGGTAGCACTGACATTATGGTCTACGTGGTGAGGCTGCATGATGCTCTCTGAATATTTTATAACACTTTCCATCTCAAAAACTAGACTGTGGGTTTGTAAAATAGCATAGTGCATAATAAAGATGAACTTCATTGGGTACCCTTTATCCCGAAGTGGGGAGAACTTTGCCCTCAATCAAAGAACTCATGGGCCAGTATGCAGCTGTACAGGGACACACACCAGGTGCTACAATGTGTCTGGGACCACTGGGAGAAGAGAGAAAGAAGTCATGTGACCCCCAGTCTTTGACCTCGGGCTCCCACATCCCACAAGAGGTGAACTCCAGCATAGCTCCTCCTACCCCATTTCTACTTACTTTGTTCCCTCACCATGGGCACCTAGATGCAGCCTCTAACTCTTTCTACCTACCTCATTACAAAGGGGCTGCAACTGAGAGCTTTAGTCAGGAACCGAGGCTGCTCTCTTCATCTCTCAGGGGCAGATGGTGTGTGGTCTCTCCTCTCGTTTGCTGTATTCTCCTGCCTCTTTCTGCAGACCGCCATTCTCTACTTCAGCGTGTGCATGGAGTCCAATGCTGTCCCAGCCCCAGGACTAACCTCATCTCCCACTTTAAGTGTCCTGACACTGACAGAGTCATTGGTCTGTGTCCCTCCATCCAAAATAAGAATCTGAGACGCTCCTGTTACAACCTGATTTCTTCTAGCAGTGGTTCTCACACTTGGATATGCTGAAGGGTCACCTGGAGACCATAGAAGATGCTGGTTCCTCGGGACACTAACATGTCCTCTAGGGCCTGTGCTCTGAGAACCACCTCTCTAAGTTTAGATGTCCAGTCTGGTCCAACTGAGAACAAGGAAGGTATATATGGGGTAATAAGGGTTTGTGGGTGGAGATGGTCTGCATGGGACTGTGAATAAGGACTAAATAAAAGCTGCCTTTGGCACATGGGCGATGCCCTCCACCCTCTGGGCTAGTGGTTTCTTTTGGGTCATCTCTACAACATCCTGGGCTTGTCACTACCCAATATGATAGCACTTACCACACTCCAGCCAAGTCTCCTTAGGTTGTCCATTCTTGAGGGATCTCCCCAAAAGTTCAGAAAGAGAGGAGATAATAACTAAAAGAGTTCAGTTTCATGATCAGCACTAAAACAAAGTTATGTCAAGGACACAAAATGTCTTTCAGACCAGAATGACATATATTTGACTGTATCTTAATGATTGGCTGATCTTATTTATTTTAGGGGACAGGGGCAGGAAAGGTAAGCCGTATAGCATGGCTCATTCAACTATCCACAGGCAGGAGATCTACTCTAACCACACCTAGCCTCAATGGAGACTGGGGGAAGGAGGGGTGATAGATAAGGATCTGGTCTCCCGATCACCGTGGCAAGGGCATCACTTTGAGCAGGTGGTTACCCCAGGCTATCTTACAGACTGGTACTGTCAAAGCAACCTTCTACGTTCTATTGGTTCTGACATCATACTCACCCATCAATCTCCTTATTATGAGTTAAATTCCCATGTGGGTGTGCCTACAGGGAAAGAATTTGCTGCACTCCTCTCTCTCTCTCTCTCTCTCTCTCTCTCTCTCTCTCTCTCACACACACACACACACACACACACACACACACACACACATACACACACACTTCTGAGTATTTGGGTTCCTGATATAGTCATCTCCCACCGGCAATTAACTCAACCAGATTTGAGGGAAAAGGAACATTTTGTGTCCAGTCACATGTCCATATAGTTTTAATTACATTTCCTGAGCTTCCTCAAATGTGGGTCTGCAGACTCATGAATCTTTCAGTGAAGGAAGATGTCTAGCTCTTCCTTGGGGCTTGAGCATCATGCTAGATAGCTGGAGCCTTTGCCCAGGGTCAAGAATATCCCAACCCTTCTCCAGGGACCCGGTCCAGCATGTCAGCCCCTCCCCAGGCAACACTTGCCCCCCACACAGCCAGCTATTTTGGCAAGCATGATTCCTTACTTTCCACGTCATAATAGGAGTTCTCAGTAGGGATTACACCACTCACTTCTGCAGTGCCCAAGTCTGGCATGATTCTCTCCCAGATAGGCTGAGTATCAATACTTGCGGATGGACTGAACAAATGGACAACATTTGGATAGTCTGCTCACTTCTCCTCATCATGTGATTCATCATGTCTGGTCTGAATCAGTCAGCAAACTATTAAAAGAGGGAGCAAGTTCTGTGAGGTCTCCCTCCTCAGCACCATTCAAAGATGCCCTCCGTCACATCTTCTAGTGCTGTGACTCCAAGCCATGCCATCTCTTACCCAGATTCAAGGTAGTCTCCCTGCACCCAGTGTGCCTGCTCTACCCTGTGCACCTTGTGACTAGATGAACGTTGCAAATGCACCTGTGATTATGATGTCACTCTCATGGATGGAACACCTCTGTGGCTCCCCACTGTGCTTCAGCTTAAGTCCAAACACTTACCGTTGAATTTGAAGGCTTTTCACAATGAAGCTCCCACACTTACCTTCCTCACCTCAGTCGGATATCATTCAACTCTTCTCTTGCTCCAGGCATCCTGGATTTCCAGCTCCTCTTGCTGCATCCCTCAAGAACATCCCTGACCCCTCTGATCAGACTACGCCACCCCATGACACATCATGTACAGTTTCCAAGTTTCAGCTTTAAGGTCCCCAACCATATCGAGAAAAGGCCCCATTTTGTCTCTCCCAGATTAAATTAGCTGCCCCTAGCAAGTGTGTACTTTCAAGGGTATGCATCACACAATTATGTTTCATGCATCTTTAAGTCGTCCCCCACAATACTCTATGAAAACACAATGCTCTTCTTTCCTAGTACATGGCACAAAGTATACACTTGACCAATACTGGCAGGTGAGTAGAAACTCTCCTACTTTTTCAATGCCCCAACAAGAGGCACACAGGAAGCCCGGGTGTTAGGGGAAAAGGTAGGGCACTGAAAAGGATGGGGTATGGCCAAGGAGGAGAATTTCTAGCAAATTCATGACCTGCCAGGTGAGCATGTGTGTTCTTAGAGGCACAAACTGTGCTCTTCTCACTGTGAGGCATGTATGTGACAGCAGAAGTGTCCAGGTGAGGAAGGACAGTAGTTACTTCAGAGATGGGTGTGGCACTCTGGAGAGTGAATGCAACTCACCTGTACCACCACCTAGCAGTTGGAGGACCTGGTCAGTCTTCCCTGGTCAGTTGTCTCCAAAACAGATAGATCAAGAAGGTCAAGCTGTGGAAGGAAGAGAAAAACATGAAGCCCCCGATTCATTCTGCAACTATAGGGTTCCTCAGGTGGGAAACAACTCCACAACAGGCCCACCTTTAGTTCCTAGGACCCCACCCAGGATGAAAGGTCATGGGCAGTCATCCCCCTAGACTCTAACTGCAGCCTGAAGAGCCCAGTTTATTACTTAGCAGCTATGCCACACTAGCCATTACACTACAGGTGAAAATTGGAGGAAAGAAATGGCTAAGGAGGGACTCCAAAATCTCTTTGGGCAAAAGCCCATGAAAGTGGTCTTGACAGTCACCCTTCTACTAACACAAAAGTGCTAGCGTGAGTGGGGTCCTAAGGCCCCTGTCATGAAGAACAAGGTAGCCCCTCCCTTAGACCCACCCTCTGGAGCCAGTCTAGCTGTCATTCAAGATGTCAGCTGCACAGTGAGCTACAGATGCCCCCTTGTGGCCAAAAAAGATGGCGTTAGGCAGGGTGAACCTGGGAGGCGGAGCATCACTCAAGATGGCACATATACAATAAATGTCATCAGGGCCCTGTGTAGCCAATAAAGATGGCGCCAGGGTGGGCAAAGCTCTGTGGTCAGGACCGGAGAGCACCTCCCTGTGGCACACCTCTGCAGCAAACCCAGCTGTCATTCAAGATGACACTTGCACATAAAACATTAGATGCCCCCTTGTGGCCAAAAAAGATGGCACCAGGATGGGTGGAACCATATTATTCAGGACAAGAGAGCCCCTCCCTTGGACCTGCCCCCTGCAGCCAATCCAGCTGTCATTCAAGGTGGCCCTGAGCCAAAAACCACAGGCCAGTGGAAGATGGCGCCAAGGTGGGCGGGCCCGTGGGCACTCAGGACTAGGGAGCCCCTCCCTCTGGCCTGCCTCTTGCAGCTAGTCCAGCTGTCATTCAGAATGACAGCTACACAGAAAACACCCTCCCTCCCTTGCTCCCCCCACCCTCAGGCCAATAAAGATGGCGTCCAGGTGAGCAGAGCTCTGTAGTCTGAGCCAGAGCCCCACCCTCTGACACGCCTTCTACAGCAAACCCAGCTGTCATTCGAGATGACATCTGCACAGAAAACACCCTCCCTCCCTCCCTCACTTCCCCCTCCTCCCCCTCCCCTCCATGGCCAACAAAGATGGCGCCCAGGTGGGCAGGGCACTGTAGTCTAAACCAGAGCCCCGCCCTCTGCAGCAAACCCGGCTGTCATTCAAGATGGCACTTGCGCCACAATCGTCAGCAAAGATGGCGTCAGGGTGGGCGGGACTCCGAGATTATTCAGGACCAGAAGGCCCCTCCCTCTGGCCTGCCTCTTCAGTCAGTCAATCGATTCAGACATTTTCACAGATGACAGACACCCCCATCTCCAGGGCCAGAACAGATAACGCCCTGGTGGGGGAGTTGTTGTGCAGCCAAATCAATCCAAACCTGAGAGCTCCTCCCTGGGCCCACCCCCTGCAGCCAGCCCATGTGTCCTTCAAGATGGCGCCTGCGCCATAAACAGCAGCTTCCATGTGGCTGGCAAAGATGGCGCCAGGATAGGTGGGGCCCCCACGGTCACTCAGGACCAGAGAGCCCCTCCCTACAGCCTGCCTCCTGCAGTCCCCCCAGTACAGCTGTCACTCAAGACGACACGTGCACAGATAACCACACCCTGCTATGGCCAGAACTAATGAAAGCAAGGTGGACGGAGAGGTGCAGCCCAATCCATCAAGACAAGAAAGCTCCTCCCTCGGGTCCACCCCCTCCAGCCAGCCCCGCTGTCATTCAAGATGGCACCTGGGCGTAAACATCAGCTGCCCCACCCAGTAAAGATGGCATCAGAGTGGGTGGAGTAATGTTATCACTCTGGACCAGAGAGCCCCTCCTTCCGGCCTGCCTCCTGCAACCAGCCAGTCCAGCTGTCACTCAAGATGACACTTGCACTAATAACAGATGCCAGAACAGATGATGCAAAGGAAGGCGGGGTTAGGCAAGAAAGCCTCTCCCGCAGCCCCCCCCAGCCTGCCCAGCTGTTATTCAAGATGGCGCCTATGCCATAAACATCAGCTGGGGGTAGGCGGAGCGCATCCCCACAGCAAAGATGGCGTCGGGGGGGGCGGGCCCTGTGGTCACCCAGGACCAAAGAACCCTCCCTCTGGCCTGCCTCCTGCAACCAGCAAGTCCAGCTGTCATTCAAGACGACACCATCACCTGACACCTCCCCTCCACTGCAAAATGACGCCAAGGTAGGTGGAGTTGTACGGCCCAATCAATCAAAGCCTGAGAGCCCCTCCTTGGGCCTACCCCCTGCAGCCAGCAAGGCTGTCATTCAAGATTGTGCCTATGACATAAATATGCCCGCCCCTGAGGCCAGCAAAGATGGCGTCAGGATGGGCGGAGCTCTGTGGTCACTAAAGACCAGCGAGCCCCTCCCTCTGGCCTGCCTCCTGCGGCCAGTTCAGCTGTCAGTTAAGATGACACCTGCAGAGACCATCAAAGCCTCACAACGGCCAACAAAGATGGCGCCTGGGTGGGTGGGGCTGTGAGGCCCCTCCCTTCGGCCCGCCCCCTGCACCTAAGTGGACCGCATTCAAGATGGCGCCCACACAGTGACTGTCAGTCCCCGAGAGCAGACGGCGCCTTGAGATCTCATCTGTCACTCAGAATAGGAGCCCCGCCCTTGGGCCTGCGCACTGGACACCCACACAACACACGCAGGTCTCTGCAGTTCCCCCAGAGCTCCTCATAGATGGAGCCATATGCATCTCAGGGTCAAAGGACCCTTCAGACAGTAACGGCGTAAGGCTGTGGAGCCCACAAGTGGCCATGCAAAAAACCAAGCGTTCAAAGCTGCGCTGCGGCAGCATCCGGCAAACTGAGGACGGCGCCCCGCTACAGCTGATGTGGGGGACTCCAGGCTACTGAGCCGGTCAGACAAGATGAGCCATTGGGGCTCATCTCCACTGCTGGCCAGCAAAGGAGAGGTCACCCCAGACTCAGGCCACCAAGGCCAAGGCCGCACCTGCGCGGCAAATCGGCCGCCCATTCAAGATGGCGCCGAGTGGGCCGAGCCTGATGACTCTGCCAATGCCCAACGCTGACCGTCACTCAACCCTAGCCCCGCCCCCTCCCCAGCTAACCAATCAGAGCAACGCCAAGGCAGCGAACCCGTCACCACCCTACAATATGGCGCCTGATGGGCGGGGCCTAAAAAGTACCTGATGGGCAGTGCCTTTGCCCCGCCCCCATGCTTCTCTTAGCCACACCCACCGCCACTGCGGCAAAACAGGGCCCGCCCCCAAGGACTGTGCAAGCGCTTCGCAGCGGATGGCAAGGACCCTGCCAGCCAGACACCCTGGGGAGCGGGTTAACCGCACAGCCCCCAGACTCTGATGAGCGGAGAAAATGGAACCACGGAGGAGGAGGATGCAGGGCTCTCCAATGTCCTCTTGGGAGATTGTGACAGCCAGCCTGTGCCGTCCGCCTGGCTGTCAGCCCCGCAAGCGAGACGGGGCGCCTACATTCGCCTCCACTCTGTGTTGTCCTGTCCCCAAGACCCTGAAACACCCCCAACCCCGGGACCCCAAGGCTTTGCGGCCTCGACACACACAGAGACCCCTCAGATCCCGGCCACCAAGGTGGCATCCCTGCGGCAGCGAGGCCGCAAGAACAGGGAGCCCTCCGCTCCCTCCCCGAGGTGCAGGGTGCAGCTTTGTCAACCGCCCGGGGCGAGCCGTGCCAGTGTCCGCCGCCACTATCCCGTGGCTATGCCCCCCGGACACCGACTGGACTCTGCAGACGGCGCCCAAGAAGGTGCATGCCGCCGGGCAGGCAGGTGGCCGGCTGACTCACCTCCCGGGAGCACCGCACTCCACGCACACACCCCGGCTGGGGCCAGCCGTCTAGTGCACCCACACGGCGCCGGGCGCCCGGCGGCGCCACCAGCCCAGGGTGGACATCTCCCCGCTTCGCCTCCGATGCTCGTCCTCCCGCGACTCCCGACTCCCCAGCGTCTGCAGCGATGGGCTGCGGGACACCTCCTTGTCAGGCTCCTCTGCAGAGGCGGGGCTTCATCTCTGACCAATCTGAGACTCCAGTGCTCGCATCGGGCCCTCACCACGCCTCCCACCCTGTGCCAATCAGCCCGCGGTTGTCACGGCAACGGCTTGGCGCCAAGGCACGGAGTTGACGTCAGTAGAGTCAGGGCTAGGGGGCCCTGAAGCAGGGTCTGGAAAAGGGGGATGGGGTGTGGGTGGTACGGGATGCAACCCCCCCAAAAGATATCGAGATAAAATAGAAATAATCACTTATAATGCCCAAACGCAAAACCTGAAAAGAGAGAGACATGCATATATTTGTCTAAAAACGGGAGAAAAAAACGGGAAAAAAAGGCACCCATGAAAATCCAGGCAAAAGCATATACATTGAGGTCTAACCACGAACGATAAAGGTGGAAGGAAAAGACTTTTCTGCTTGGAACACCCAGACACACAGCTTATTTCCTTAATAAATGAAGAGCTGTTGGAAACCAACAAGGGAAAAGACCAAACCAAGCCAAAAAAATTAAACTAAAAAACAAAAATAGATGGGCAAAAGAGACCGAACTGACAATTCACGGGAAAATGCAAATGTCTGGGACATCTATGGAGGAAGAATCATGAACTGACTCTCTGCGTAGCGAGATGCCAACCGAGACACCGGGTGAAGGGGGTTTATGGCAGCGCACTGATTCGCGTGCTACCCCCGCGCTATCACCCGCCGCCTTCCACACAGACCTTCTAACGCATGAATCCACTGCAGTGCCTCTTAGTAAAATAACAAGAAATTGCAAGAAGAGGAAAGTGTGAGTAGCAAGCCTGCCTCTGATAGAAGAAATGCCTATAGAACCCAGAAAATAACGAGGTAGCACCGCCTTACTACAATTAAAGGACCACTATCTTAATAGATCCAATGAAATAACACATTGCTGAAGTTTGTAGAGATGAAATGGTAAGTGTTTTTTGTTTCTCATTTTTTTTCTTTGTTATGAATAAATACAAATGTGGGTAAAACTTCTAGAAAGGTATGTAAGAAAAATTAACTTGTTACCTGTAGGAAAAGAAAGGAATGACGGAGGGGGAGGGGGGAGGATGAAAGAAGGATTTTTTTCCCCCTCCTTGGCTCGTAGGTGTGCTATGAATTTCTTTGGCAGAAATTCCGTATTTCTTCCCTGGCAGTAAAATCAATGAGTTATTAAAAGTTTGGTAATGTACCCATTGATGAAATTATTCCAGTGTCAAGGAATTAAATAGAAGGAAATAAAAGGTGTGTGAAAGATTAATTACGGGAATATTTACAGAATATACCTTCTTATGACTAAAAATGTCCCCTGTGGAACAGAATTGTATTCCAGCAAATCTGCACAATTGTAATTTTGTGTGGTTGCTAAAAGTTCGAATCCCATATTTTTAATAGATACATAAAATGCAGTATTTTAATTTTAAAGGGAAAAAAAAAACCTGTAAGACCGCAGTCTGTTTTTAAAATACAGTTTACCTAAGAGCACACTGAATTTAATACCTCTGATTAAATTTTATATTTGTATTTGAATTATCAGTGGTTGATGGCTAGGTAGAAACGTCGTGGGCTTAGAGATGGTGTGTGTGTGTTAGATTACTCAGACCTTAGGATTTTCTCACCTAGCTGCGCCACAGAAGCAGAAAATGTGAATGAAAATACCGTCTTGCTATGCAAGAAAACTGGGTGGTTTTACACTGGAAAAAAAATCCTGGACACATTTGGGATGTGTTTGGGGTATAATCAGTGGGATTTGTGATGTCGGTAGTAGGAAAAAAATAAAAAAACAGGAACAACTGTGAGATTTTTGCCTATAACCAATGCTGTTTATAGGCATCAAAACCCGAGTTCCTCGGCAGCACTGTGAAGGTGAATTGTCTACTACTCTTAGGTCTGAGATGTTTGAATCTGGCTACCTGATGCGGCTCACCTGGGTGGCTGTTAAACAATACTCTTGACTGAGACCCCCACAGAGATTGGTTTGGGATCTCCTCAAGGAATCTTAATGTCTTGTTAAAATTTTCAAGGGAGGTGATTTTAGCATATCTGAAGGACTCCATTCCCCCACCCACCCACCTCTCTGCAATACCACTTTCTCTCTGGACCCTGGCTTAGTGATTCCCAGAGAATTCCACAGACTCTAAAGGGCTTCTGCAGAGAAACAGGACCCTTTTTTGCTCAGTATCCCCCCCCCAACACACACACACACACACACACACACACACACACACACACACACACACACACACACACTGTACTGGGTCTTCCTTCCATCCCTGAAATCGCATGACAATTTCCCCAGTTTTCTTCATGCTTAACTCCCTGTGCCATTCACTATGTGAGCTGAAACAGTTAACCACTCACACTATTGTTTCTTATTTCTGGTAATGCTGCACAGTCCTAGATTTCCCCATACATCAATGACCCTTGCTCCACAGCTGAGTGAATTAGGGACGCTCTTGCCTCGGAACATGGTTACCAGTCTCTTCCTTGAACAACCTATCCCTGGGTAGCCACCTGAGTCCTTTGCCTAGGAAGAAGACTTAAATTCTACCTACACAGTAGTAGTTCCTATCCTATGCCCAGTGTCATATAGTTAGCAGTCCAGTTGGAAGCCAGCTACCCCACACAGGTAATTTAACCGGCAACTCAAAAAACATTTAAAGCAAATATGGTTTGGGGCTGCAGATGTAGTCTGGTTGACAGAGTGTTTGCCTAACATGTACAAAGCCCTTGGGTCTAGCCTTAGGATAAAAAAAAAATCCAAATTTTTCTTTATTCTCAAACCTATACATATTATCAGCTCTTGTAAGCCAAAAAAACAAAAAACAAAAAACCCTCACAATTCTTGTTTATTTCTTATTACCAACATCTAATTTCTCAGGACAAATCCCACTGATTATATCCAAAACACATCCCAAATGCATCCACTATTCTCTTTTTGGTGATATTTCTAAGCATCCTGTTTTCCTGCTAACTTTCTCCTATTCCAAACTCCTCCCTCTGACATTCTCCACATGGCACGAAGCTGAGTTTCGAAGACCCACAAAGTAACCTTTGAAGGCAAAAGGGACCCCTTCTTCCAACCAGACTTACCTCCTGACCCCCATTCTAATCACCATCAACAAAGTTAAAAGAGTCGTGGTTATTTGGGGTCAAATATTGGTACTATAAAACTTAACAATCTTTTCCTTCAGAGTCCTGCCTTTTAGATCTGAAGAATCCCACACACACACACACACCACACACACACACAAACTGAGGTCCTATGGGTGCTAATCAATATTAGGTTTTGTTTTTTACATTTATGTATGTCTAGTGAAAGGGCTGTAACACACACACACACATACACACACGTGCGCACACACACACACACACACACACAAAGTGTGCCGCATGCCAGTATGTTTCTATATACAAGTAGGCCTCTTCCTGAACACTCGGGTCTGTTCCATTGGTTCACTTGTCTACCTCTGTACATAACACACCACATTCATTACTAGGGCTTCACGGTGCCTTGACTTCTGAAGGGGCCACTCCTTTGTTTTTCAAAAGTATTTCGACTAATCTTCACCTTGTCGCTTCCAAATGAAATTTTGAATGGCTTGTGAAGTTTGATGAACTATCCTACTGAGTTTTGTATTTGTGTTTTATTAAACCCAGAGAGTAATTTAGAGAATGCAGTAAAAACCATGTCTTTCATCTCTGAGCATGGTCTGTGACAGTATATATTCATATTTTATAGATATTAATAAGATGGTGTAATTTTTTCCTACCAAGGTGACATTTGACTTTAGAAGGTATTTTCTCCCATTTTTAAAAAATAATTTCAGATTTATAGAAAATTTGTCAAGATAATACAAAATTCCTTATTCCAGTCTCTCTTGATATTAACATCTTAACATAACTTTGGTACAAGACACTGGAAAAAAAAAGAAATTAATACTAACACAAACTTATGAAACTACAGACTCTATTTGGATTTTTACTCATTTTCCATTAATGTTTGCATCCCAACCAGGAACCCCCCACATATAATGAGAGATACCTTGTGTAAACACCCCACCCCCACCCCGGCCACCAGTTTCTTAGTATTCTTTATTTCCCATCCACTGGAAAGTATTTGGTGTACATATGAAATATTTTCTAGAATGTTTCTCAATTTGGGTTTGTCTGATATTTTTCTCCTGACCTGGACCAGGGCTATACATTTTTGAAGGGGATATCGGCCACTGCTATTTACCTGATGCTGTTTGCGCCAGCGAACTGGTTGGCCTCTTTTGTTGGTTCTGATAGTCTGTCTATAGAGTTTCTTGGATTTTTTTTTAAAAAGGTTAACATCTTTATTAATGACATTTTTAAGATGTTAACAGTCATACCTCTGATATGGAACAAGTCTTATCCTAGATTCGAGAGAGAGAAGGAAGTCTTAACCGACCATCAAGGACAAATATTTTACAGCAGGCATTTTGGCAGAACCTCTTTATGGGGGTTAAGAAAATTTTAGCTTTTAAAAAATTTTATCATTCATGGGCTTAATTTTATGGCTGTTTCTGTATCTGTTGTGATTTTATGATTTCCTATCCTCTGAGGATGTGAATTATAGCAGATTTTCTGTGATTGAAACATTGTTTACATTCCTAAGCCCTACTTAACCATGATTATAAAGGTCTGTTTTATATACACGTGCAGCCAGATATTATGTTTTGCATCTCAGTTCACACTTAAAACAAAAACAAAAAAAAATTGCCTTGTCTGGCTTTGGTATCAAGGTAAAACTAGATTTATAAAATACCTCATATTACATTTTGTAATCTTTTCTCCAATGGGAACTATTTGTTGTTATTGTTTGATACTGTTTTCTTCACTTTTGCTAAAGATTTGATGACTCCTTTTTTTAAGTGGTTTTGGATCCTGCTGGCTACGTTCTAGTTATTTCCCAGGAATTTGAGCTTCTTTTCCTAGTTTCTTCAGTTGCACATTTATCTCATTTATTTTTAGTCTCTCTTAATTTTCAACATATGCATTTCAGGCTATAAACTGCCCCCCGCTGCCACTTGGACTGAATTTCACACACCTCGCTGTGGTTCAGGACCACACTTTCTTCCCCTTGGTGGGATGAAGGAATGTTTTAACGATCCCGAGTTCCTACAAAAACCATCTTTTGAATGGAGATTTAAAAAAACAAAACAAAACAAAAAACCCTGCATTTTAGCCAGACTGGTCCATGTGGTTTGCCACTTGTTAAACCTTCCTTTATCTTAGGGTGTGGTTGATTTTTAATTGTTCAAGGTGTTAGAAAAGAAATGAACAGCTCCTATTTGTTGGGCATTAATTTCTATTTATGTTTATAAGATCAAGCTTGTTAACTGTGTTTATATTTTTACTATTCTAATTTTTGTCTGCTTGATCCAGCTGTTCTAAGTAGTTATAATACAAACTCCTAATATGTCTATGTTTTGTCCACTGCTTCTTGTAGTTTGTGCTTTAAATATTTCAAAGCCACTTTTTTGGGGTGCAACAAGTCCAGATTCATTCTGTCAAGTGGCACAAGGTAGCGGACCTGTTCATACCTGTAGTGGCTGACAAATCTCTTCATTTAATGTAGCTTTTCTTTTGTTTCCATTTTCTCTTTTCCTGCTTTCTATTGCATTGAATTTTCTTTATTGTGTCTTTTTTCTTTTGTTTATTTTTTATATTCTTCCATTATATTTCGCTTGTCTTTACCTTTAAATTCTTAGTTTATACACAGACACTTAAAAGGAAAAACATTAAATGTACCTAGCCAAACATACTGGTTCACCTCAGCAATTCAATGGATTTCTTATTCCTACCAGAATTTTAGTTATGCATTGTTTTGCTTTTTGAGACAAGGTCTCACTATGCAGCCCTCACAGAAACATTAGGCTGGCCTTGAACCCACGTCTGCCTCCAAAGTTCTAGAATCAAAGGCAGTGCTTTAAAAACCGAAAAGAAAAAAAAAACAAAAAGACATTGTAGACATAGTATCATATCAACAGACGTATTGTGGATTCATTTATTTCTCTATCTCACGTCTCTGCCCTCAAGTCTCTTCTCCTGGCTTCATTTTTCTCCTTGCAATGCAGCCTTATGTATTTCAGCAACAACACATATTTATCTATTCGTATTTCCTTAAGCACCTTTAGAGGATACTTTTGAACCACAATGTAGCCAAGTTAAGGGATTTAAGGTCCATCCTAATGTATTTCTCTTTATTCCTTTGTCTAATACTGCTGATAAAATCGAGAGTCATCATAACGCTTCTTTCTAAGGACACTGGTTTTCCTCTGCGGCTTTTAGAATAGATGTGATGTATAGGTGTTTATCTTGCTTTGGAGTCTCTGTGATCAATGAAAAATCTTTCTTTCAGTCTGCAGAATTCTTGGCCCATATGTCCTTAAATGGAGCTTTTCTGCCATCTTAATTCCATTTTTTCTCAACCTATTAAAGTATAATAATAATTTCCCTTTTAATCTATAAAAGCAGTTTGTTACTTCTAAGATTCTTGAACAGATACAGTGGCCATAAAATGTTCATCCATAGGAGAAAGATATAAAATATTCCAGTTAGAAACTTCAGAACTGAAAAAAATGTAGCCATCACCATTAAAGATTTCTATCATTAAAACATCCGAAACACTGTTGTAAAATATCTTAAGCATCATTCCAAATTTATATTAAAAAAAAACTTTATCTCAAAGTTTGAACTCACAAATTCACAGAACCACATTGATCAAAAGTATTGTCTTCTTGGGCTGGGGGGGAGGGGGTGGCTTAGTCAGTAAGGCGCTTGTCACACAAATCTGAGGACCTGAGTTTGATTTCCCAGCACTGACAAGATAAAAAGCTGGTGATGGGGCACATCTGTAATCCCAGTGCTGGGGAGAGAGACAGAAAGATCCTTGGGAGCTCACTGGTGAGCTCCAGGTTCAGTAAGAAATTTCATCTCAAAAAATAAGGTGGAGAGCGTTTGAGGAAGACACTGGATGTTGACCTCTAGTCTCCACATGCAGACATATGAACATGTGCGTGTGCACACACACATGCGTGTGCACACACACACACAGAGTATCATCTTCATCTTCTGTAACAGTTCTCACTTCTTTTCCAAGTGTACTGTGGCGTTTTTCTGAAGCTACAAGAGCAGCTGGTGACCCTACAACAGACTGAAGGCTTGTGCAGGTGAGAATCCAGCTGGTCCCCAACAAGTCAGATGCTAAAGAGATCAGCAAAGATGTGAAACAATGCTACCCCGGTAATCTGTTTTGGAAAGGTCATTGTTCATCTCAAGTGTTACTCATGTTAACATGTAATGGGTTTACTACTGTTATTTAAAATTTGTAAATGTGGGCTGCAGAGATGGTGCAGCCATTAAAAAGCTAAGGCTAACAATCAAAACATCCAAATTAGTAAATGTACACTTCAAATTATTTAATGTTTTGTTGGTTAAGGTAAATAAGAATTGATAGATACAAATTGCATATATTCATAGCATGCAATGTGATATTTTGATATATACACATGTGTGAACATCTATGTTCTTTTCCATAGTATGTTCTGATTTACATTTCTATATCAAGAGTTCTCTTCTTTCCACATCCCTGTCCATACTGTTTCATAACAGCCATTCTAAAGGATGTGGGGTGACTGAAACGTAGCCTTGGCTTGCCTTCCCCCATGATGATTAGCACACAGCATGTTTTCATGTACCTGATGACCAATTAGAAGGAATCTTTTGTGAAGTCTCTGTTGGGAAGGAATCCTTTGTTATCTTAAAAATTGTTTTTCTGGGGTGGGGGATAATTGGAATATTGTTCAGTTGTAAAGAAAAATGAAATTTACAGGAAATGGAAGGCTTTGAATAGTAGTATGTTATGTCAGGTGAGTCAAAGTCCAAAAGAAAAAAGAAACGTGTTCTCCCTCATATGTGGATCCTAGACTGTAATGTACACAGATACATATGTGCACAGCTGTAATTGTGGGTCTAATATAATATTTAGAAAGGAGACCAAGAGAGAGCAGTATTAAATGATGAAGAAAGAGAGAATATAGGGAAAGGGACACATGAATTGTGAAAGAGAATATAAGCCTAGTTTTTTCTAGTTTCAACTCCGTCTTTTTTTTTTTTTTTTTTTTCTTTTTCTTTTTGCGATGGACAAGTGAATAAAATTCAATCCTTAGTGAAAGGGCAAAATCCCAGATGAAGCTCCAGAGCTTCAGAATGGCAGTTTTAACCATCCAGAGGTTTGCTGAGATGGGCAAGTGTGTGTCTGAGTGTCTTCCTTAAAAGAGCCGTGGGATGTTTTTACGAGTTAATTAGGATAGAGTGGGTTTTAAATAGTGTTTTGTTGTTACTGCTGTTGAATTCCTTGTGCATTCTGGACACTGATACGTTAGCAGGTGCATCGTTCACAAGCATTTTTTCCCATTTCATAGGCCCCATTCCACCACATCCTTTCCTCTGCTGTACAGAAACTTTCATTTGCTACAATGCCATCTGCTTGTTTTTTTCTTTCCTCTCTGAGTTGGGAAACCAAAATAAAAAGTCACTGTCCAGAGCACTATCAAGTAATCTTATCTGTATGTTTTTTTTTTTTTCTGGTAGTTTTACAGCTCAAATCTTATTACAAGTCTTTTATCCATTTTGAGTTAAATTTTGCCTAAGGCATGATATTTGTTTTTTTTTTTAAGTTTCATTAGGATTTTGGTGATGATTACATTGAATCTGAAGTTTGCATTGTATAGTGCTGGCATTTAAACAATAATTTTCTAATCTCTAAACATGAGAAAAATTTCCATTTGTATAATCTCAAATTTCTTTGATTAATGCATTACAACTGTCATTGTATATATCTTTCACCTGCTTGAATTTACTCCTAAATGGGGTTTATTTTTTATTAAATTTATGTGTGTGAGTTCGTGGATGGGTGTGGGTCTACACTTTGCCTCTTGTGCATGAAGGTCAGAGGACAACTTGTTGGTACTCTCTTTCTACCAAGTGGGTCCTGGAAGTCAAACCAGTCATCCTTAGGCTTGGTAGCAAACACCCTTACCCACTGAACTATCTGGTCAGCAGACAGTCTACTGATACATAGTACTGATTTCTGTGTGTTGGTTTACTGAATTAGTTTATTAATTCTAGCAGGATTTTTATACTATCTTTAGGGTTTTCTATACATAAGATTCTGTCAACTACAACCAGACAGTTTTATATCTTTGTCTCCTAATTTAAATGTCTTTTACTTTTCCTGATGTTTTTCTGGCTAGAAATTCAGGTCCAGTACTGGCAAGAGGTCGTAAGGTATACATTTTTGTCTTAATTCTTGGAGGAAAAGCTTTCAGGTTTTTGTTTCACCATGTTATTAGTGAGTTTGTCAGAAATGGTCTTTATTATTCTCAGGGGCATTTCTTCTATACCCAACTCCTTAGGTTTTTATCCTGAAAGGATGTTCGACTTGGTCAAATGCTATTTCTCCATCTATAGAGAATGATTTGATCCTTCATTAAAGTAGTATGTCAGAATGATTGATTTGTGATTGTTAAATAATCGTTGTATCCCAGTGTTACCCCCCTCCCCTCCCCCTTGAGCATAGTCTGTGAGTCTTTCAATGAGCCAACTTTGATTTGCCCACACTTTGCACCTAAATCCATCAAGAATACTGACCTGAAGTTTCCTTGTAGTGTCCTGGTCTGGCTTTGTCTTTTAAAGTGCTTATGAAAGTATTCCCTTTCCTTAAATATTTTTTAAATGGTTTGAGACAGGTTAGAGCTACTTCTTCCATAAATAGGGGGTAGAATTTGCCAGGGAAGAGCCTTCACATTCTGGGCTTTTCTCTTATGAGGTTCTAAATCATGGATTCAGTCTCCTTAGTAGTTTATTTGGTTAGATCTTCTATTTCTTTTTAAAAATATTTATATTATTTTATTTATATGAATATGGGCATGTAAGTGCACTGTCCACAGAGATCAGAAGAGGATGTTGGAGCTCTTGGAGCTGGAGTTACAGGCAGTGGTTAGCCCACCAATGGGACTGCTGGGAACAGAACTTGGGTCCCCTGTAAGAGCTGTAAGTTTCTTAACCTCTGAGCCATCTCTCCAGCCCCAACATTTTAACTTTTAAAACTACACATGCCCCTCTCTTTATGTTCAAATAAACCCTTTGCAAAGTGAAAATATCTCAAGTTCAAGAATAAATTTAAGGGTCAGGTGTGGTGGCACTCAGGAGGCAGAGAGGCAGGCAGATCACTGTGAGATAGAGGCTAGCCTGGTCTACATAGCAAGTTCCAGACCAGCTGGGGCCACAGGGAGACCGTGTCTCAAAAAGACCAAAAAATAAATAAATAAAAATAAATAAATGTAACACATCTAATCTAGCAAACGTAACAATACAGAATGCAGTAAGTTATCTATTGCTGGCTTAATTGGTAGAGTGCTTTGTACCAAGCATGCACAGAGCCCTGGGTTTGAGCCCCAGCACCACACAAAACTGGGTGTGGTAGTGCACACCTGTTACCCCAGCACTTGGGAAGTGAAGGTAGAAAGTTCAGAAGTTCAAAGTCATCCTCAGCTACATGGTGAGCTGGAGGCTAGCCTGGGCTACATGAACCCCTGTTTCAAAAATCAAATTAAGTGTAATTTAAAAAGAAAAGCTGTCTGTTGTGTAGCCATGTGACTGTGTGGCTGGTTGCGAGCAATGGCATACTGCCCAGAATCCCTAGAGAGCAGCACAGTACATATTGCTCCCCTGGGAAAAAGATCAAAATTCAAAACGCAGTTCCTGATTAATGCACTCCTTCCATCCTAGAGTCAGAACTAACAGGAAAGTCAAAGCACAGCGAGCCAGCAATCGTGTATACAGACAACAGGCACGAACCACAAAGAAAAGGGGCTTTGAGATTCGCAGCCGTTCTCGAGGGCAGAAATGGGTCCTGACACCAGAGCTTTTGAGGACTCCGATCCGTAATAGTAACAAATCTGTAACCAGCTGAGAAATCTGCCCTTTTCACTATTATGAACTCAAGGCTGAGCACAAAGCTTAATGCACCAAGGTCTCTTAGTACTGATTCCGCTGTTCTTGCAATGGGAATTTTTGTGCCTAATACAGATAAGGGCACATGCTAGGCCATGAACATGGCTTGTTACAAATGACACTGAAGTGGTTCCTATGTGAATGTGTTTGTTTAATAAGTATGTCTTCAGAGTTATAGAGTAGCTGGGAAGACACAAGCAGTAGGTAAGCTGGCAAATAAAATAAACCTTTAAAGATTATGCTAAATGTGAAGAAGAAGGAGGAGGAGGAGGAGGAGGAGGAGGAGGAAGACGAAAGAGGTTGTGGTGATGATGATGAACATGGGTTTGTGGAGGTGACGATGATGAAGATGGGAGTTGTGGTGATGAGGATAATGAAGATGGAGGCTACGGTGAGGGTAATGAAAGTAGAAGTTGCATTGATGATGACAGAGGTTTTGATGATGGCAATGAAGATAGGGGTGTGATGATGATGAAGACAGGTTATAATGCGGTGATAGAAATGGAGGTTGTACTGATGGTGATGAAAATGGAGTTGTAACGGTGATAAAGGCAGAAGTTTTGTCGTTGATGTCAAAGATGGGATGATGATGATAAAATGGAGGTTACTGTGAGGTGATAAAGATGAGGTTGTGATGATCATGATGAAGATAAAAGTTGCCATGTTGATGGGAGGGGAGGAGGAAGGGGGAGGAGGAGGAAGCAGGGGCTCAAATGAAGGAAGATGTGAGAGTGTGGTAGACTCAGAGTAGTCAGGGAAGTCTTCTCTGAGGAAGAGAAGCTAAGGGTAAATTTTGAGGAGAGCCAGGTGTGTGAAAGGTAGGAACATTCTAGATGGACAAAATTATAAAGTACAAAACCCTAAAGGCTAGAAAAATTTTAAAAAGAAAAGAAAAAGAGAAAGAGAGGAAGGGAGGGAGGGAAGGAAAGAGGGAGGAATTAGAATGTCTGGAGGAAAATGGGCAGAAAAATGTGACTGATGAGACTGTACAGGTATATAAGAACAAGCTGGTCTTCAGGAAACAAGACCAACATAAAGAGCTTAAGTTTAATTGTAAATATAAAGAAAGGGCTGGGGAGGTGGCTCAGTAATTAGCGTGTGGCCTGAGAGCATGAGGACCTGCGTTCAGAGCCCCAGAAACCCACGTAAGTGC